TATTTATTTATATATATATTTTCATTTTTAGATTTAACTGATCTAATTCGCCGTTTAAAATAACTGCTCTAATTCGAAATATTTGGTATTTATTTATTGAAGTCCTTTTTTAAATTTTCTTATGGAGTTTTTTAATTATTGCTTTTATCTTTTAAATACAGTTTATTTATTATATTTTCTACATATATGGGTTGTATCTAAAAAATAGGTTATTTATATTTTTAAATAAGCGAGGGATTTCTTTAACAGATTCATTTATTTGTCTTTTTGAGGTCCTTTTTCAAAATTTTATTTAAGTATTAAGTATTTTATTTAAGTATTTTATATTTAGATTATTTATAGTTTTTTTTAACATATAGGGGTTGTATTTTGTATTTTAGAAAATTATTTCTATTTTTTTCCTCAAAAAAGCATGCTTTTTCATTGCCGTGTCCTGCGGTTGGTCTATTTTTGAGGCTTTTTAATGATAACTGGTTTTGTACATTAATTTTTTAGCTTTTTAATATTATGCTTTGAGTTTTTTATAATCTTTTTAACATATCTGGAAGGTTATTTTGAAGAAAAAGCATGCTTTTTTCTTATTTGTTATTTTTCTTATTTCTATTTTTTTCCTCAAAAAAGCATGCTTTTTCATTGCCGTGTCCTGCGGTTGGTCTATTTTTGAGGCTTTTTAATGATAAATGGTTTTGTACATTAATTTTTTAGCTTTTTTTTTTTTTCAATATTATGCTTTTAGTTTTTTATAATCTTTTTAACATATCTGGAAGGTTATTTTGAAGAAAAAGCATGCTTTTTTCTTATTTCTTATTTCTTATTTTTCTTATTTCTATTTTTTTCCTCAAAAAAGCATGCTTTTTCATTGCCGTGTCCTGCGGTTGGTCTATTTTTGAGGCTTTTTAATGATAAATGGTTTTGTACATTAATTTTTTAGCTTTAATATTATGCTTTTAGTTTTTTATAATCTTTTTAACATATCTAGGAGGTTATTTTGAAGAAAAAATTTAGGAATTTTGATTTTTACCTCAAAAAGACAGGTATTTTTTATGCTTTGTTTATAAATTGCTGGTTTTTAAGCTTTTGTTATTAATCTCAATATTTTTTTTCAGAATATGCCTCGCCGCAGCCGACCTTTAATTGGTAGGAATACGGCTGCTTCCAGGTGATATAGGAATGCTATAGCTATTGAGCCACCACTTCAAAGTGAGCCGCGTCGTGCGCTTCGCCGTCTTAGGTATTCTGAAGCCCGCGTCGCAGCTGCAAAAACTATGCAAGTTCCTGTTTTCAGGTTTGCAGTATAATACCCATATTGATTATACAGCTGATTCATCTGTCGATATAGGCCAAATGTCTCGGGTATGCCAGTTTTGCTCTGCTTTGAGATTTAGAGATGAACCCTTTGGCCTCTGTTGTAAACAAGGTAGAGTTTCTCTACTTGCTATTGAGTCCCCTCCAGAACCTATTTTCTCTTTGCTCTCTGGCCTACATCCTCTATCGAAGTCCTTCTTGCTGCATATCCGTAGATATAACTCTATATTCCAAATGACATCTTTTGGTGCTAGACAAGTTGTAACTGTAAATATGCATATTTTGTGTGGTATTACAAAAGTTTCAATAAATATCTTTTTTAAATATTTTCTCTTCAAGCCCATCATACACCACACATGCTACATTTTTCACATGTTTCAATGTGTAGGGTTTTCAACCTTCATGGTAAGGTATTCTTACTTAAGAAGTATACTGTGTTAGAAAAATTTATGGTTTTTAATTATTGGTTATTTTATTGTGTTTATTTTACATACATGTGTTTATATTACATAGTATGTGTTATTTTTTGATAATTTGATTGGAAATATTAGTTTTAGCACAACTTGCTTCATACCGTAATGTTATATCTGTGTTGGCTTGCTGAACAATACTGCCCAACATGAATTTACCTATGTTTACCCAAATTACCATTTTAGCATAAGTATACATCTTGCACCTAATAAGAGACCTAAACAATGTGTAAGGTTGAACAAAGAGTGGTCTAACATACACATTGTTTCGGTTTCAGTGAACAAAGAGGTCAGTAAATTTTATTAGAAAAAAAAAAAACTATTCCATGTAATGTAATAGAAACAAAATACGACCACTACGACCCGGGTTCGATCCCCGCATTGGACACTTTTTTCTGTTTAAAAAAAAAATGCTCCAATAGCCCCCCCGATTCTTGCAAAAGTCCAACCCCACCAGCGAGTGCAAGTAACCAAACGGGGCTCTGGCACATTTGTAAGTGCAAAGTCGAACTGCTTTCACATGTGTAGACATGTGGTGCGCTTACAGTAAAAAGCAGTCGCTAACTACCCACCATGATTATCATGGCCTGTACCACGTGTACTAGGGATAAGCAAAAAAAAAAAAATAATGAGGATTAAAGATTTTGATTTGTGTTGAAAATTTTGCATGCATTTCTCTATTTCTGTTCTTATCTTGCAAAGCTAATGGATTGTTTAGGTTGCTTATTTTTGACTCGCCAATTTGTTTAGTGATAAAGTGGTATAGCGTTCTTTTTCAGAGCATCACCCTACAAAAAAATTACCTGACCTTTCCTAATATTCAGATAGATTGATTATATCAATAGTTTCATCAAATTGTTTCGGTTTCAGTGAACAAAGAGGTCAGTAAATTTTATTAGAAAAAAAAAAAACTATTCCATGTAATGTAATAGAAACAAAATACGACCACTACGTCCCGGGTTCGATCCCCGCATTGGACACTTTTTTCTGTTAAAAAAAAAAATGCTCCAATGGCCCCCCCGATTCTTGCAAAAGTCCAACCCCACCAGCGAGTGCAAGTAACCAAACGGGGCTCTGGCACATTTGTAAGTGCAAAGTCGAACTGCTTTCACATGTGTAGACATGTGGTGCGCTTACAGTAAAAAGCAGTCGCTAACTACCCACCATGCTTATCATGGCCTGTACCACGTGTACTAGGGATAAGCAAAAAAAAAAAACTAAAAAAATAATGAGGATTAAAATTTTGATTTGTGTTGAAAATTTTGCATGCATTTCTCTATTTCTGTTCTTATCTTGCAAAGCTAATGGATTGTTTAGGTTGCTTATTTTTGACTCGCCAATTTGTTTAGTGATAAAGTGGTATAGCGTTCTTTTTCAGAGCATCACCCTACAAAAAAATTACCTGACCTTTCCTAATATTCAGATAGATTGATTATATCAATAGTTTCATCAAATTGTTTCGGTTTCAGTGAACAAAGAGGTCAGTAAATTTTATTAGAAAAAAAAAAAACTATTCCATGTAATGTAATAGAAACAAAATACGACCACTACGTCCCGGGTTCGATCCCCGCATTGGACACTTTTTTCTGTTAAAAAAAAAAATGCTCCAATGGCCCCCCCGATTCTTGCAAAAGTCCAACCCCACCAGCGAGTGCAAGTAACCAAACGGGGCTCTGGCACATTTGTAAGTGCAAAGTCGAACTGCTTTCACATGTGTAGACATGTGGTGCGCTTACAGTAAAAAGCAGTCGCTAACTACCCACCATGCTTATCATGGCCTGTACCACGTGTACTAGGGATAAGCAAAAAAAAAAAACTAAAAAAATAATGAGGATTAAAAATTTTGATTTGTGTTGAAAATTTTGCATGCATTTCTCTATTTCTGTTCTTATCTTGCAAAGCTAATGGATTGTTTAGGTTGCTTATTTTTGACTCGCCAATTTGTTTAGTGATAAAGTGGTATAGCGTTCTTTTTCAGAGCATCACCCTACAAAAAAATTACCTGACCTTTCCTAATATTCAGATAGATTGATTATATCAATAGTTTCATCAAATTGTTTCGGTTTCAGTGAACAAAGAGGTCAGTAAATTTTATTAGAAAAAAAAAAAACTATTCCATGTAATGTAATAGAAACAAAATACGACCACTACGTCCCGGGTTCGATCCCCGCATTGGACACTTTTTTCTGTTAAAAAAAAAAATGCTCCAATGGCCCCCCCCGATTCTTGCAAAAGTCCAACCCCACCAGCGAGTGCAAGTAACCAAACGGGGCTCTGGCACATTTGTAAGTGCAAAGTCGAACTGCTTTCACATGTGTAGACATGTGGTGCGCTTACAGTAAAAAGCAGTCGCTAACTACCCACCATGCTTATCATGGCCTGTACCACGTGTACTAGGGATAAGCAAAAAAAAAAAACTAAAAAAATAATGAGGATTAAAAATTTTGATTTGTGTTGAAAATTTTGCATGCATTTCTCTATTTCTGTTCTTATCTTGCAAAGCTAATGGATTGTTTAGGTTGCTTATTTTTGACTCGCCAATTTGTTTAGTGATAAAGTGGTATAGCGTTCTTTTTCAGAGCATCACCCTACAAAAAAATTACCTGACCTTTCCTAATATTCAGATAGATTGATTATATCAACGTACTAGACTACAAACATTCCCTTGAGTAAAAACAATTATTTAAAAAAAATTCTTATCTAAATATATATCACTCGGGTAGATATGCACACGGGTCAATCCCGGGGCGAAGCCCGGGTCGGCGTCTAGTATTATATATTATGAAGTATAATAAACAATGCTAAAGATTAGTTTTAATTATTAATCAAGATTGTGTGTGAATATGTGAGAAAGATGTAATATCGTTGTTGTTCTCTTGGCCGACTGTTTTACATATGGTGTTATCTTAAAATTGCTTGTTTTGAATATTTTTTTAGATTGAGTTGAATGAATTGCTGAATTTTTTTTTTGTATTTATATATAAATGAAATTAACTCTGTTGAATTTTTTTGTATTTTGTCGATAACAGCAAAGTTATGTATTTTAAAGTTAGGAAAAATATTTTGATGTTAAGCAAAACCTGCTCCATCTCGTTTTACATAAATGTTGAAAATTTGGTCGAAATTGATGCATTGTAATGAAAGTTTTTAGCGAACACCACTTATGAAATTTCCATTTATATAGAAGATATAATATAAATGAGTTTTAAAAATTGTTAAAAAAAATGCATCGGCCGGGAATCGAACCCTGGCCGCCCGCGTGGCAGGCGAGCATTCTACCACTGAACCACCGATGCTTTAAAAAAATCAAATTCATTTATCGTCGCGACCAGTGCTGCGCCCTAGCGGTAAAAGACTGGAACTAACGGTTTTTGGTTTTTTATTTTTTAAAAAAAGCACATTAACTTTTTTAGTTTTTTGAATAGCCTATATGTTAAACGAAATCTTCAGCTACCTACATGCGAAATTCCATAATGATTGAGTCAGTAGATTTTGCGTGATGCGATAACAAACATCGATTTCGCATTTCATTTTTATATAGATATAAAGGAAGGATATAAATGAGTTTTAAAAATTGTAAAAAAAAAAATGCATCGGCCGGGAATCGAACCCAGGCCGCCCGCGTGGCAGGCGAGCATTCTACCACTGAACCACCGATGCTTAAAAAAATGGACATATTTAGGTATTCATTCCATTCCGGATTAGTCCGCGTAAAAAAAAAGTTCTTCAAATGAAAAAAAAAAGAAATAGCCAAAAATACTAATCAAAATGCAGCCGAAAATTTTCCTCAGGTTTATAAAAAGCGACATGCAAAATATGGTACCAATTGGTTCAGTAGTTTTTGAGTTTATCGCGAAACAGACAGACAGACAGAAATTGACTTTTATATATATAATATAGAGATTTACTCTTCATTGTTGGCTTTTTAACTTACATTCATTCTTCATTGTTGGCTTTTTATATTACATTCACTCTTCATTGTTGGCTTTTTATCTTACATTCACTCTGTTGGCTTTTTATATTACATTTACTCTTCATTGTTGGCTTTTTATCTTACATTCACTCTTCATTGTTGGCTTTTTATATTATATTTACTTTTCTTTGTTAGCTTTTTATCTTACATTCATTCTTCATTGTTGGCTTTTTATATTACATTTACTCTTCATTGTTGGCTTTTTATCTTACATTCACTCTTCATTGTTGGCTTTTTATCTTACATTCATTCTTCATTGTTGGCTTTTTATATTACATTCACTCTACATTGTTGGCTTTTTATCTTACATTCATTCTTCATTGTTGGCTTTTTATATTACATTCACTCTTCATTGTTGGCTTTTTATCTTACATTCACTCTGTTGGCTTTTTATATTACATTTACTCTTCATTGTTGGCTTTTTATCTTACATTCACTCTTCATTGTTGGCTTTTTATATTATATTTACTCTTCATTGTTGGCTTTTTATCTTACATTCATTCTTCATTGTTGGCTTTTTATATTATATTTACTCTTCATTGTTGGCTTTTTATCTTACATTCATTCTTCATTGTTGGCTTTTTATATTAAATTTACTATTCATTGTTGGCTTTTTATCTTACATTCACTCTTCATTGTTGGCTTTTTATCTTACATTCATTCTTCATTGTTGGCTTTTTATCTTACATTCACTCTTCATTGTTGGTTTTTATCTTACATTCATTCTTCATTGTTGGCTTTTTATATTACATTCACTCTTCATTGTTGGCTTTTTATATCATATAGTAAATCATAGTTTTATCTAGTGAACATTTTTTCCCGTGTCACATTGCCGTGTCATCCTGAGATAATCTTACTTTTGATAAATAATATTTAAGATAACAAACTTAGTGATAAGAAAACTTGTTATCATCGTCACAATGGGGGCGCTGCTTGCGAGTTAAATCTACAAATCTGCAAATAACTCTAAGGATATTAAAGATATTCATGAAATTATTTTTCAAAAACCTTCCCGGTGATATACCTAATAATATCCCAAAATTTCACGGCGATTGGATGTATGGTTTTTGAATCTATAGAGTACAAACAAACAGACAGACATTCAATTTTATATATATAGACTAGCGGACGTACCCGGCTTCGCCCGAGGTTTTACCCGAGTAAAGGTTTGTCTAGCGAAAATTTGTTAAAACAATTCTCTAAAAACTTATTTAAAAAGAAAAAGATATATTTTGATAATTTGAAACTCGTAAATTTGAATCTCTCGATAAAGTGAACATTTTTTCCCGGTCCCTGTGTGCCGTGTCATCCTGAATTTTGTCTTTCCTAATTTTCTACATTAGAAATCATAGTTTTATCTAGTGAACATTTTTTCCCGTGTCACATTGCCGTGTCATCCTGAGATAATCTTACTTTTGATAAATAATATTTAAGATAACAAACTTAGTGATAAGAAAACTTGTTATCATTGTCACAATGGGGGCGCTGCTTGCGAGTTAAATCTACAAATCTGCAAATAACTCTAAGGATATTCAAGATATTCATGAAATTATTTTTCAAAAACCTTCCCGGTGATATACCTAATAATATCCCAGAATTTCACGGCGATTGGATGTATGGCTTTTGAATCTATAGAGTACAGACAAACAGACAGACAGACATTCAATTTTATATATATAGATAAGGAAAGAGTTTGATGAAAGCAGCAAATAACTCACCTTGGCCTTGCCCTCATCCACCAGCTGTTTGGACATCTTGGCCTTCTCCTGGGTAATCCTCTGCTGCTTCTCTTTGACCATCTGCAGCCTCTTGCAGGCGGCATTGGCTTCCTCCAGCTTACTCTGGAGCACTTTCTTCTCCTTGGTGAAATCTCGCTCCATCTTCACCAGCTGGTACTGCCTCTTCTTCTCCTGCTGCTTCAGCTTGTTCATCTCCCGATTCTTCTCATTCTGCCACTGCCGGTGCTTATCTGCTTCTTCCTTCATCCTTTTCATCAGCTTCACCCGGGCTTGCTTCATGTCCTGTCACAGCCTGGGATGGTCACTCCTTCTACATATAACCAGGCTAAACTATATATTTTTAACCCTAGTTAGATACCAAGAATTGCTTTAAAGTGCCAGGTATAGAAAGGCTGTTGTTTCTTATCCCCTTGTGCAACGATTATGCAAATTCCAAGAGTCCATGCTCATCGAGCTGTTTGATGATAAGCAGTGGCCTCTTCCTCGGCAGAGCTGACTGCTACAGGGCGCATCCCCAGGTGACGGATAGGGAAACGACCTTCAGATATGAATGCCAGCTGTGAAACAAGCAGAATAAATCTAACGAATACGCAGTTGCGGACCAACAGCAGCATTGTTAGAAAGAGGAGAAAGACCTCTTTAAAAATCCTGAGTTCAATTGACCTGGTTGATAGACCTCAGCAAGGATCCCACTACAGGGATACGGAGGAGCTGCGTCTGTACTCAAGTTAGAGTCGGCAGCAAACGCGTCTGCTTCCATGTTAGGAACGGCCTTAAAATACAGGCAAAGTCAGACTTTCGCTAAAGTGCGCCTGGATCATGGTGCCATGATCAACAAAAGCTGCATCCCCTACTACCCCATTCCATTAGATCTTGGACTCGTATGGAATTTGTATAATATTTACACAAGGAGGGAACAACATTGTTTACTTATGAATACTGGATATAAGTTCTGGTACCTGGATCTCTTGCTGGTACATCTTGGCCTTTCTGTCGCAGTCCTCTTTTATCCTGAGCAGCTTGTTCATTTTGGTGAGCTCTTCCTTCATGGAGTTTATCTGGGCTTCCAGTTCTTGGATCCTCTTGCGCCTCCTCTCGCTGACTCTGCACCAACGATCACTACGTAGGTATAATTTATCATCAAGCCACAAACAATGGCCAAATATTGAATATATTGTGTTACTAGCCGAATGATCCGGGCAACGCCCGGGTTTTACCCAATTAAATGTTTTTATTCAAATACTATTCGTTACAATTATAAATTGGCGCCGTGGATGTCACTCTTGTGAAACGTCCCGCTCCAAACTTTGTGTCTAAGAAGCATTATTTTTATAGAGAGATGATCTGGCTTTGTGTCTTCTGCTCGAATGAATGTTTTTCTGTTAGAATTTTGTTCCTGCATACTAAAAATGAACTGGCTTCACCCGTTGTCTCTGCTTTTTGGATTTTTTCCTGTTATAATTTTGTATCTGATAATCAAACATGATATATATATAGAAATATTGTCATCATTATTTTCTGACTATAAAATAACTATTTTTTCCCAGAACCTGTCAATTTAAATTTTTCTTGGCTAAAAATCCGATAAATATATCTTCCAGATTTTTCTCTATGTTCTGTTAAAACACGCTTTACATGTACATTAGGTCAGCTGATATTACCTCCCATCTTCACCGCTAGAGGCGCTGCTTGCGAGCGAAAGGGCAAATTCGCAACGCAATTTGCAAATAACTCGAATATTCGGGATAGAGACCTGAAAATTTCACTATAAGTTTTTCCAGATTCTACTCTATATACTGTTGAAATTTCAGTCAGATTAGTTACGTATTGTGGACGTGTGTAGCCGACATAGGAACAAACACACATACATACATACACTGACTTTTATATATATATAGGGATAAACTAATTTAATGCACTAATATTTCTTTGTGTATCGAATATCTTTCAGAGTTATTGTCCCAATATACATGCTAAAAGGTACAATTTCCTTAAGTTTTGTTCATGAGTGAAATTTCCAGACTGTTCTATTGTAGTATCAGCCTGATGAGTCCCACAATTGAAATTTATTTTCATTGCAACAAGGTCTGTGGAAGCAGTTTTAGAAAGAAATCAGAAGAGGGGGGGGGGAAGTGTCAAAATGGTCTTAATGCACTACTTGCTTGGGAAGCAAAAATTTGACCCAATTATCAGGGATTTAAAAAGATATTTTTAAACATTTTGCCTCTGGACATGTTAGAGCATGTTGCTAGCCAGTGCTAGTATCCTAGGAGTAGACTTGCCCCAGATGCTGACATCCTTTTTAAAACACAATTTATCCAATAAATCAAAGACACTATTTAAAATATCAAAACCACTGTCATTTTTAACTAGGTAAGAACATCTACTACCCCCATTTTACTATCAAATACAGTTAAATTTCAATGTTTTTATTAAACCAGGAGGCTTAGATCTCGCATAAGCATGTGACAGGGTTCTGTGTGAAGGCTCAATATCACACAAAGGCATGTGGATGGCAGCAAAAGGGTTAAAAATATGCTCATAAAAAATCATAATTTCACATAGGAAACTAACATTTGATAAT